TCGAGGGAAATGCCACTGGTAGCCTAGAAGAGTTAACTGCTGGAAGCCATGTGTTTTCCAAGCAGTCAGCTGCTGTCCCAGGCACACTGGATGCAGACTGGCCATTAATATTGAGCATTAATAACCATTGATCTGGATGTCATTTCAGGGCTGGGAATGTGTGTGGTATGCTTACAGCAGCAATTAGCCATGTAATCAGCAAGAAGCAGCTCTTCCTTTTCATCCATCACTAACTGAGGCAGGATGAGAGAAGAATGTCTCAGGGTTCCTGGACTTTTGAATAATTCCATCACACAAACACTTCAGGCAGCTTCCCCCTACAGAAACTATGGATGTCAGTTTTCCTGCCCAATTTAATATCCCATAATCACTTGGCTTAGCAAGACTTCTCACATGAGTGTAAGTGAAATTATTTAATTTCCAAAGATAACAAAAAATTAAGGCAGGTATTAATGTTCAGTCATTCTGCCCTTTACAATTCCACCACTGAAAGTATTCTTAAATCCTTCAATAGAGGGCTAATGGAAACAAGTCACTAATGTGAGGACAAAGCTATACAGCCCTATTTGTAATAGCTGATTCTCAGAGCTCGGTAAAACCCTTCAGGAAAGGGCTGCAGCTGCGGGAACAGCTCTGCCAGGAACCATGCAGCAGGGAACCATGCCCCTGGGCCTTTCCTTGGGCAGGGAGAAGTGACTGCAGACATTCACCAGCTGGGCAGTGCCCATATCTAATCAGCCTGTTCCTCCCACTACTGCAATCATGAGCTATTCAGGATTCATCCTGGGGATATTCAGAAATCCACATATCCAGCAGACTCCCACACTCTGTCACAGGGGGAAGGCTCACATTTCCTGAGTTTTAACAGCTTTGTTTTGATTGGATATTCTAAAAAACAAATCTTCCTTTTTTGTAGGCTCACTGCTGGTGCTTTCATTACTCAGAGGTGACAGCTACAACCCTGGTTCCCTGCGCACATGATTACATCCGTGAGCTGCCACATCTGGTCTGAGTCAGACACAGGCACCTTGTGACACCTGGGCACACAAAACACAACCAGCACTGGTAGGAGAACCACACCTGATCTAGCACCAAGGTAAAGGTACCTGGTACTTGAACTATAGTATTTTGAACAAGATTAAAACACTTGTCACAGATGTTTCAATATAAGGGAATAACCTAAATTCTGCTTCTCGCCTCCTCCAGGAGGCCACAACTAGTGGCACAGAGGTAACAGAGACCGGAAAGGATTTTTGGGGAGTAATCCATGAGAAAACAGTCACTATTTTACCTTCACTGCCTGGTTCTTTGTGTTGATGGGAGGGTTCTTCAAAGCTGCCTGCAGTGCAGCCATCATGTTCCCTGTGCCAGATGGTTAAGGACCAGATAGCAAGTATATGGACATCACATCCCAGGACAGTCAATACTTGTGCATGACTGAAAACACTCCAATGAAAGGATTCCCTCACCAGCTAAGAAGATATTACAGTCTAAGACAGCAATTTTCAGGTCATTTGAGTCAGGAGCAGCATCAACAAGCAGCTGTATAGTTCCAGGATTGTTGAATGCTTCCTAACCCTTTCCTTGAATCAGGGTCCAAGTAAAAGAAACCATTCTCCATCACTTCTGCAATCTGTAGCCTTTTGAGAACAGGTCTCAGCTTGGCACATCGAGCCCTAGCAGCCACCGAGACAGCAGCCCTTGGGAAGAGTGACCAGTGGCCAGGTGGGCGAGGCAGCCCTGCTAGTGGGCAAGGGGAACTCTTTGGGCACAGGAAACTCCCTGTCTACATTCCTCTGGACACCTCACTGAGCGCAGCCCTGGGGCACTGCGGCTGCTGTGGGCAGGGAAGGAAGCTGGGCCGCCTTCCTGCTGCCAGCCCCTTCTCCCTTCAGCCTCTTCCTCTTCCCTCTGCCAGCCCCCTCCCCCTTCAGCCTCTTTCTCCTGCCAGCCTCTTCCGCCTTCAGAGTCTTCCCTTGGCCCGCCAGCCCGTTCTCCTTCAGCCCCTTCCCACCGCCAGCCCTATCCACTTCCAGCGTTTTCCGCCCACCGCAGTGCCCGCTCGCGGATGTTCCCGTCTAAGGCCGCGCCCGCTCCGCCCTCGCCGCTCCCTTCAGGATATTGCCGCAGGCACGAGTCCACCTCGCCCTCATCGGGCCCCGCTTGCCCATCGCCCCCGTCCTCCTCATCCACGAACTTGTTCTCGTCGTACTCATCCACGTCCACCCGGCGGAACCGCGCCGAGGACACCGTGTGCTTCGCCATGGCCGCGCCCGCCCCGCGCAGCCGCCA